ACACACACACACACACACACACACACACACACACACACACACACACAACAGGCCCAACTCAGCAGTGTGGAGACCTCTTACCTCATTTGCACTCTCAGGAAGCACAGCTCTTCATCAGTGTGTGTGTGTGTGTGTGTGTGTGTGTCAGACTGCTGAGCTCGCCCGTCTCTCCAGACGTCGAGCCGCTCGGCCTCGTTATGTCACGGGGAGGAATAAAACAACAAGTAAGTGTTTGTTCTTCCATGTTGTTAATTATTCCCAGGTCTACGGTGAAGAATGACGACGACGGTGAAGTGTTTGGTTTTGATGCAGAAGGTGTAAATGCACTCAAACAATAGAACCTGTTGCATCCACAGACTGTACATAAGAAATGACCATCGTGCTGTATTGAAGAAGACTTGAAACTAGAGATTGAGGCCATAAACTCATGACGAGCTTAATATCATGCACCTGCACTATAAACTCAATATCTGCATATCTGAGGCTGGAAACAAAACCCACTCTGTGGATTAAAAGGTCTTTTTACTGATATTTTCATGTCTGAAGTATCTTCTGATGTGTGATTGGTCACCAGGTTTTACTTTCAGTTGTATTGCCTCTGAACTCTGAGAATTGTGAATTCTGAATATTCATATATTTTGGCATCACTGTCATTCCTTGATTCTCAGATATTCACAGTGGATTTAACAGGAAAATGCAGCAGAGCTCCATGTACTGTACATTAAAGGGAGGCGGCCATTGTGTGTCACAACCTTGCTTTGACCAATCAGCGTCTCCCATTTCCCCTCTGAGGATTTGAAAAGGTCAGACTGAAGATGCCAAGTATGTGCAAACTAACAAGAGTAACAACATCTCCAAGGACAGAATAGCTCTCGCTCTCTCTCTCCTGGGGTCTTAAATTCTAGGTTTCCCTCCCATCATTATACTTCTCACACACACACACACACACACACACACACACACACACACACACACACACATCCTGACGCTGCACTTTTACCCAGAGTGCCTCGGTGGAATTCCAATCTCTTGGTCGTGTTTAAGTTTAGTCTTGCGGCTCGTAAATAATACTCACTGTCCCTCACTCTCTATTTTTGTCTCTAGGTCTTTGTTGTCCTCTCTCTCCTTTTCTGTCTTTCTGCCCCCCCCCCCATGCCTCTGTGGAAAATCCCCCCTCAATTTCTGCAAATAAAACAGCGGTGGTTCGATCCTGTGGTCTGGGGTCCTAAAAACGGGACAAACCATTTCACGCAGAGATTGGGAGGTGGGGGTCACATGGGCCGAGGGGCAGGTTCACGGGGGTCAAACTTCTCCCAGTGTCGACGAAACGACTGAAGACGATGGAAGTAGATTTACTGTGGGGTGGCTTTAAGAAGCAGAGGATGTGACCTGAAAGATTTGGCTTCTACGCCAAACTCCAATGGAATCAAAGTGAATTTGAGTCATCGTCCCGTCCATCATTACATCTTATTAGTGTTCGTCTTCTATGCCAGAAAACTATAAAAAGGTGACGGAAGCAGGCGGCAAGTGTGTTAAAGCTGCATTCTCTCTAGTGTCCACCAGGGGGCGACTCCTCTGGTTGTATAGAAGTCTATGAGAAAATGACTCTACTTCTCTCTTGATTTATTACCTCAGTAAACATTGTAAACATGAGTTTATGGTCTCAATCTCTAGTTTCAAGTCTTCTTCAATACAGCATGATGTTCATTTAGTACATTATGGTCCATAAGAACTGAGCCGAACTTCTTTGTGCGACGCTTCGCTTCCAGTGTGGGCCAAACAAAGCAACCTAGTACACGTAATCACATGGACTCTTGTTGGCATATGTCAATAAAAGGTGATTTTTCCAACAAAGTTCACAGTCGGACTGAATGATGAATCATTTCAGCATCGGCATCGTGAATAGTCACATTTTGTTGCTGCTTGATACGAAACAAAAACCTGCTTGGTTCTCATTTTCCACAAGTAATCGAGTGTTTCCCTTTAATTCCCTTCAGTCGAGGTAGGCTCGCCACAGTTCCACAAAGAACCATTTCTATTGTTACACGGTCTGCACCGTCTGTCTGGGGGATTCGACTCGGCGGGTCAGAGACGGCCGCTCGGCGTCGGAGTATCGTCTCCTTGGCGAGTGCATTTCCCCGGAGCTAAGCGCCGCGACCGGCTCCAGGTCGGCTCTGAGAGGTCCGGGGGTGGAGGGGGATTGGAGCGCCGGCCTTTACCTTTGCAGCCCCACATGGGCCCGTCCACAACTTGAGCTTCACAGAGTTGATCATTTAGAAAATGTTTCATCTCAAACTGATTATCCTGAGGCTTTATGAACCAGCTTTATAATGAACTCATTATTTAAGATGTTTTCTCTGGTTTCAGCTTCTTCACTGAGAGGGTTTGATTTTCAGTATTTTTTATTATTTTATAGACTAAACAATAAAAAAAGAACAAAATCAGCAGATTAATAAATGCTGGAAATAATAAGTTACAAAGAAAAGAAAAGCCTTTTCCCAGCTGTGTGGCCACATCTGTATCGTCTTGCTCCAACACTTCATTGAAGCTTCACCGAGTGACATTCAAGCTTATTTTTATATCCTCAAACGGGAATAGTCTGTTGAGACAGAGCGACGTTTGTATCCTCAGCAGAATAAAAAGACGTCCGTCTTCATCGCGAGGTCAAAGGACGCGTCCACTGGTGGGTGCTGCAGAGGTCAACAGGTCAGCAGCCGACGCTGAGCTCTTTGCACTGATTAAGCTTTTTAACCTGAACCACGCTTCAACTCTGAAAACCAAGTGAAGAGTCTCCTGATGACTCCGGGAGCTTTTCATGTCAGCGGACAATCCTGTTCCTCCTCCTGTCAAAACACACGCCGGGAAATTGTGTCTGGATTTCAGCCCTGAAGCTTATTAATAATAATAATAATAATAATAATGACAGCTTTATTTATATAGCACCTTTAAAAACAGAGTTTACAAAGTACGAAACAATAAAACCAATCGATTCAACAAATAGAAGCTGTATAAAGATGTCAATGTTAAGCTAAGATGATCATGATGTTGTTGAATGACTTATTACATGTTAGTCTGATGCTGCAATACTTTAACTCCATCTTTGTTCTTTGAAATGAAGGGAAGTGTTGATTAATGGATAAATGTGCCGATGTGAGCCGTCTGCAGACAGTTGATCTGATGTGTGAAAGGAACGCCAGCACAGGAACGCTGCATCATGTCTGAGCTACTCTCACTACAGTGACGAGCTCATTTTGAACTGTAAAACCGTGATGCACATATTTCTTCTTAAATAAACCAGTTCACGGGAGCTTTACGGTGAGAGCAGACGCTACAACGGCCCAGAACATTTACGTTACCGGAAACGTGCCGCAGCTTCAAAAACGACGTCAATACAAAAATACACGAAAACCAAAAACAACGGAATCGTGACGCAAATGAAAAGACGAGCAGCAGGAAAGCAGAACAAACACGCTAACAGCAAACACGCTAAGAACACAGGAACGATGCAAAGTGACGAACACGCGAAACACCTTCAGAGAGGCTCGATCTGATGTTTCATTCTCAGTTTATTATTTTGGTTCTGAACTCTTTGGTGGAAGTCAAAAGTATCTTTATTCCTCTTTAAAAAAGACGTAATGTTCTTTCAATGGTGAACATGGTTTCTTCCTCACATGAAGGTCAATGTTACTAACCCAACCTCGACTTTACAGTTTTATAATCCAGTTTCCTTGTCGCACATTATGAATTGAACACTGTTTATGTATTTGATTTGTAATCATCGAGTTTTTTCACAAAACTACAGAAGTTCTTCTCGTGAATCAATGAGAGTATCAGAGAGAATAATGGATCAATAACTCGTCTGTAACAGCTCAGTGGAATCACTTCACTGACTCCACTGTTGAACATTTATTAAGATATTGTCTCCCTCCCTCCCTCCTCCATCCCCCCCTCCGTCCTCCCTCCCTCCTCCATCCCCCCCTCCGTCCTCCCTCCCTCCTCCATCCCCTCCTCCATCCCCTCCTCCATCCCTCCCTCCTCCCTCCCTCCGATGGGAATGGCGATGTGGTTGCTGTGGCAGCTGGTGTAGACAAACAACAGCGATACCATGGAACCACTGCTAAATACACACACACACACACACACACACACTCTCTTCTGGTTGTTTTGGAAGCATAGCAACCGCTCAGCTATTACGTGATCTTCTGTAGTACGAGAGGACACACACGCTGTCTTTGTCTCTCTCTCTCTTAAATCAGTGTTGTGGGAAAGATGATTTTTTTTGTTTTTAAGGAGGTTCTGCATGTTTCAGACTACAGAGCTGGAAAATTGTTCTGATTATCTCACGCGCTGATTTAAAACAGCCGGCAGCGTTAAACACGAGATCAGAACCCACTTCCCCGAAACGGCCAATCAAAGCCAGCGATCGGCCGCTGACTCTGGTCCATCGAGTGCTTCATGATCCTCTGATGGGAGTCAGGATGCAGGTCGGTCTGAACATAAAACACTTCATGAGCTACGAGGAGGCTACGCTTTTAATTGGGACAAGATTCTTTTCCCCCGTCGTGATTTCAGCCTCAGGTCTCCAGCAGGAAGCAGACGAGCAAAGCATCATGGGAGTACATTTAAAAAAGAAATGTAAAAATTAACACAGTTTAAAAAGAAATGCCATGAGACCCAAAATAAACACTTGATTACTTTAAGCAGATTATGTAAGCAGCACTAGTGTCGGGATGATTTTCACAGGTTTGTGATCATGTAAGCTGGTAATTAATCAGTTCTGGTGCTGAGCTTTGCTGGTGTGGAGCTGGACCAGTGCAGGACTCTGATCAAACCCTTCACTGAGTGTTTTAAATCACATTTATATTATTCTTCTGATCTCACCTGCATCAGTTATCTAATTTACTGAACTTCTGCTTTGCAACAATGCAGTGAGGCACTTTCCCGCCTAAATGAAAGTTGAGTAGAGACGAGCGGACTCACCATGCCGTGGTTGAGCCACTGAGGGATGAAGTTGTCCAGTAGTCTGGGGTAGACCAGCTCTCTGTCGTACAGGTAGAGAGTCCAGAACGTGAACACCACAAACTAGAGAGAGAGAGAGGAAACAGTTAGCAAACAGTGCTCTTCAGGCCTCATCCAGCTGCACAAAAACACTGACATCAAGTATGAATTATTGAACCGCTGCTTGTTGCCAGACTTCTGCCGCGCTGTCGGGTCAGAGATAAGAAACAAACCTCACCGGTCCTTTTCAATATGCAGTCAAGTGATGGAGGGACACTGGGGACTGTTTGTGAAGAAAAACACAATAATCCGTAGATTCATTTCCTAATGAAGCTTTGCACACGGCGTTTTATTTATGACGGTAAACTACTGTTTTCTGATCCTTTCCACACTGTGGTGGCGGTTTAATGGTGAGAGAAGCAAGAATCCCCACTCGCCCTGAACGCACCATAAACCGAGAAACCCCTCAGACTAATGTGTCTCCAGCAGGCAGGTCTGGACGCGGGCCAGACCATGTTCTGCAGGACGGGGGTGGAATTACCTGACCGTCATCTGGGTTCCACTTGGAGGCATCTGAACCCCCCATTGTACCCTGACCGGCATGTTCTCTGCTTTCAACAGGCCGGTGGAGGACACACACACACACACACACACCCTCTACATTCCCTTACACAAAAAGAGATGCCCATATGGACATGCAAACACACACACACACTTGTAATATATGCACCTGCACACCCGTGCGCTACACACATATGCACGCACACACACACTCTTTCCTTATCAGTCAGGCTGGGTTTCCAAACATTAGCTGTGGTGATAATCATGTCTATTGTGCTGTGTGTAAACTGAACTCACTCACACACACACACACACACACACACACACACACACACACACACACAC